GGTTGTTCTGCTTCTTTATTCCTAATGTTCTAAGATTTAACATCGCGCTACAAATTCTTTCTCCTAAAACTTTTGTGTTCTAATATGGAGACGTACTTCTTCAGTTTCTTTTCTTATAATAAAAATTATATGACCACTGTAAAATGGTTCTGAAATTTTATAACTGTTTAAGAAGGCAAATTCTGAAACCGCTTCACTGGCTGCAGTTAAAGAGCATTTTCCTACTGCTCTCAAAGAGGCGATGCAGTTACAGTTGGAAGCTACATATCGGAGTAACTTAATGAAAACGGCGTCAGAAATGAAACGGCGACTAGATTACCTTCAAGAAACAGAAGCAGCTCAAAAACGTGTTGAAAGAGCTTACATGTTAAATTGGATAATTGATTCGGTTTGTGATGTATCTCTTTTGTTTTACTATTTAACTGTAAGCAACAAGTATTAAAAAGTGGAATTGAATTTCGAAATAAGTCCAGCTTTTTATGTAACTACCTTTACAGTTCCCTTCTTTGCTATGTAGTTTTCCTAGTCGTTATTGTTTTTGTTTTTGTAGGTCCATAAAGAAATTGAGCAAAACAAAGATGGCATCAAGGACAAGTATTTAAATGGCTGTATTGACGAATTAAAAAATCTTGCGGCGCATGCTCATTAAAGCTGCAAATCGCTTTCCCGCTATGCAGACAGTACTGACATTCACGGGATATCATTCTAGTAATATCAGCTGTCGCTGCAATTTCGTTTTAGGATTACGATTTCTAAATGGAGCTCGTCTTCATACTCAAAGTGTAGTATATAAATAAATGTTATCTATAATAAGTTCGCTTCTTTACTAACAGTTTGCCTGGTGAACTTACAAGGTGAAGCTACATGTTTTTGTGATCACTCACTCTCACTTTCACAGAAATCACGCAGGATATGGAAAAAAGCTAGTAGAAAGGTATTTTTTCTAAATCTTTTGGAGTGAATAATTGATTGGCAGTAAATTGCAGGTAAGTTCTTGTGAAGAAATTGAGGGGAGGGGAAGAATATGAGCGGTGCTGGAGCTGCTACACCGGCACTCTCTCCAGAGATTTATTAGGAGACCGAGTGCTTGCAGTACTACAGGAAGAGATCAGCAGTATAAAGTTGGAGTTCGTAGCTGTTGTTTAACGGCAAGTGAAATGTTGGTCTGCGTGAGTTGGTTGGCGTTCCTCACGTGAAAGGTGGTGGCAAAGTGATGCGCGCATCGTTTCTACTTAGTTTAGTAGTTTATAAAGAGGTAAATTTGAAAGACGAATACGCAGCAGTTCTAGCGCAGCGGAAGCTGACGATAACAGAGTGTGGAACTACATGGTAAGTCGGGGAAGATTTCGGAGGAATCAGTTTCTAGAAGCTCATTAGTCATGGACCTAAGTTTCCGTAGCAGCACACTGTAAGTCCGGCATTTGTTAAGTACCGTTGCTATATTTTAGAAGCTGCTAACTAATGAAAAGTTTTTTTGAAGAATTAAAGGACTGATGAAAAGAAATTTTAGGGAGCGGTTTTTGTCTGTTCAAGTGGGAATTTTTTCATTGTGGTTATTCGAGTTCAAAAAAGTCGAAGACCAACTGCAAAAGAGCAGATTTTCCAATACGATGTGAAGTGTCCGTGTGGTCTGCTGGAGTGCAAACTTTTGGTGAGTACCTGACCGCCCCGCACAAGCATGCTCTTCAACTGTCGTCACTTTCTTCTCTAAAGCAATTTTGAACCATCATGCAATGGTCGAAGTCGAATTTAATGATCTCAGGACGCTGAAGACTTACGCGTGAGTTCCCTCCAGCTTCTAAGAATGCCGACAAACTTTTTTAATGGGATGAAACTGTTTAGGGATCTTTGAATTTAAATGATTTTTAAATACAGTCCTTTGAAACAAGTGTCATGGCGGTCAAATAGAGCAAACAGAACGAGGATAGGTATAACCTTAAATTCAGTCATTGAAACAGCAGAACCGTGAATTATCTTTGAATTTAAAATACAGTCCTTTGAAATCGTTTTTGAAAAAAAAAAAAAATTGAAATCGTTTCAGATATCACTGAGAATAATAAATAATAAACTTTACACTGTCATAATTTTAAGCATAAATCCATAGATATAACTCAGAAAACTACAGCCAACAGTACAAACATAACCGAAAAACTCTGAATCGTCACAGTGCAAAATAAGACTCAAATACAGATCACGAAGGCCCTTGTATACAACAATTATAATGTAATAGTTTAGTGGAAACCCTTCCACAAATTAGCAATGTAAATATCAATATCAAAATAAGTAACGGTTTTGAATATGATAAAAGCGTAAACAGAAGCCACTAAAACATGGAAGAAAGACAGTAATCTGGGTCGGTCTTCAAAAAAATCTTTTTGGAATATGGATTTGTTTGGCATAGGTCGTACATGATCAACTCCCACCTAAGACAAGCATGCTCAAATATAAATAATGTAGAAGCAAAAACGAAAATGCAAAAATAGACAGTAATTAACTTTTTACGATGATGAAAATTTTTACCATTAAAGACTTTAATTTCTTGTGGTTCTCCTTTAAAGCCAAACGGGCAGCTTTACGTGACTCCGGAGCACTGCTTACAGGACTGATCTCACTAAGTGCAGGAGACACCTAAAAAACTACAGAGATAAGGCATTTAAACAAAATAAGTAGTCATCAAAAGTAGTAACGAGTCAAGAAGTTTCAACTTCATCAAGGTGTAAATTAATTACGGTGCAAAAAAATCACACAACCTACTTTGGCAGTTCTTGAAATTTTTGCTGATGTAGCTGGAAGCCGGCTTATTGGCGTCGATGTATCAACAGGACCCTTTTTCCTTTTTGAGGAACGGCCAATAACAGGAGCGAAATGATCATTCTGATTACGTAAACGTACCATTGCAACATGAAGATGCTGTCGGAAACAAATTCGGAAAAGGACAAAAAAGTTCTTTCTGCACAAGAAAAGT